GGGTTAGGATACAGATCAGTGTTGGAGTTGGGGTCCCAGTCCTTGTTCTGCCTCTTACATGCTCAATGGCCTTGGGCAAGTAACAGCCTCATGCTCAGTTCTGTCCCTCCCCAAATGGAGACAATGCTACCTACTCCCGTGGTGGTGATAACAATAAAATCATCCAAGAACAGCTCTCACACGGCACCTGGCTCCCTACGAGTGAGCACCGAGGGCGAGCACTGCTCACTTGCAAGCGCATCACATGATCAGAGCTCATCTGGGCCCCGGACCACCCTGAGAGGTGGGCAGGGCAGGTTCTCTCAGTTTCCTCATTTTACAGATGAGGAAAATAAGGCCCCAAAGATGTAAGCGGCTGGCTTGTTTTGGGCTGCAATGCAGATCTCTCAACTCCTCAGTCTAGTGCTCCGCCTGGTCCACATTGCTCCGTAACGGCTAACATTGAGGCCCCTGCTTAGCAAATGGAAGCCACTCATTACACGTGGACAGCCTCACTGCCTCTTTTGGCGGCAAGGGATACTGAGGCCTTGGTGGCCCAGTCACAGGCCTGGCCTCAGGGAAGGACGTGGAAGGCATCAAGGGAAACTGCCACCATTAGCCCCCTCCCTCCCTGTATCAGCCAAGTCACCGGGACACTTTCCCCGGGAAGGGGGCGTTGCAAGCCTCACACACTTAGAGAATGAGCTTCTTCTGCAAGCAGCCAGGGCAAGGAGTGACCGTGGCAGCACCTGCTGAGCCCCCAACACCTTGGAGGTGGGTTGTGGGGGTGTGGAGGAAGAGCTTTGGAATGATTGTGTTCCCCCCACTTTCCTTGGTGTTTATGTTTGGCAGCCAAATTCTTGAGGGCGTCATCACATTTGGTTCCTGCTGATTTAATAACACTCTGAGCCAGAACTCCCTTTCACCTGGCGTGGACAGGGGCTGCCCACAGCGCAGGTGCGAGGCCAGCTCCAGCGTCTGGGCTCGTTTGTCCCGAGCTGCTGCCTGCTGCCGTTTCCTCCTCTCCCGCCCTTATTTGGAGCCCCTGACAGCTGAGCCACAAACAAGCCGGGGGAGCTGGGCAGAGGCCAACTGTCACCCTCTGCTTCCCCGCACGGGTCCCAGCGTGGAGGAGAAAGAATCCCGAGGCGCGGCAGTGAGATAACCAAGGACGCTTTTTTGCTCTTCTCACACCTTTGAAGTGGGAGACTCTTGAGGCCAGTCAGCAAGAATGTGGCTCTTGCGGCCGAGGGTCGGGGGGCCGTTGGGCTGCCCAAGGCGGAGGGGCTGCGACAAGCCCTGCTGGACCGATAACTTTAAAAGGGCATCTTCTGCTGGCTCCTCACTCAGCCGCTTTATCGCTGCAAGTGACAGAATGGGGAGGGTTCCGTCCCTCCTGCGCGCTGAGGGAGCTGGGGGGCTATAAAAAGAGGAGGCGCTGGGCAGCCGGGAGACAGGGACGGATGAAGGCAGGGAGAGGGAAGCCAGAGGAGAGGGACGCAAGGCAGCAGGCATCGGATCGCTCCTTGGCCAACGCCAGCATGGGCTCCTTCTCCACCATCGCCGTGGGCTTCCTCCTCTTCCTGGCGTTTCAGCTCCCAGGCCGATCTGAAGCTAACCCCGTGTACAATGCCGTGTCCAACGCAGACCTGATGGATTTCAAGGTAGGCTCAGGAAAGGGGGCACGGTCTGGGGTCGGGGGCTTTCTGACACTGTGCCCATTCCTGTCGATTTCCCCCAAGTCAGCGAGGCCTCTCGCTTTCCTTGTATTTTCCTTTTGTAAAGAATTTGCTGGACCATTTGGAGGACAAGATGCCTTTAGAAGACGAGGCTGTGCCCCCTCAGGTTCTAAGCGAGCAAAACGATGACACTGGAGCAGCTCTCAGCCCCCTCCCCGAGGTGCCTCCCTGGGCCGGGGAGGTCAGTCCAGCCCAGAGAGACGGGGGTGCCCTCGGGCGGGGCCCCTGGGACTCCTCCGACAGATCCGCCCTCCTGAAAAGCAAGCTGAGGGCGCTGCTCGCCGCCCCTCGGAGCCTGCGAAGGTCCAGCTGCTTCGGGGGCAGGATCGACAGGATTGGAGCCCAGAGTGGACTGGGCTGCAACAGCTTCCGGGTAAGAGGAACTGGGGATGGAAATGGGATGGGGAGGAGGAAAATTGTGGTCTTGTGGAGGGTCAAACCTTGTCAAAGGATGCAACCAGGGGACACCTCCAGCAGGAAAGGGGCTCTGCATTTCTGCCCCAACTTGGAGGGTGCTCCGTGAGTCCCAGGACAAAGCCATCTACACAGCCACAAAGTTATTCCCACTAGCACTGGGCAGTTAAAATATCCACAGGGCCAGGTCACCTTTGCACTGCTGACTGACAGTTCTTGTTCCTCCCTCGAACTGCAAGATCCTGACGGATTTAAGTGAAAGTAAATAAAATTAGCTTTAATGAGCAACGTGTTCACCAGTTCATGTAACTCAAAGGGTCTTCAGGCTGGGGTGGGGCCTGGTGGGAAGTAGCTGGTCCGAGGTTGAGAGGTTTGGCAGAGTCTTGTGTGAAGCTGACTTTTCCAGTAGTCAGGTCTCGGAGGTGAATGTTTGTGTTCTGTATTCTCTTTGTAGTACCGGAGATAACAGCCAAGGAGGAAAAGGCGGGCCAGGCCCCAGGGCAGAAGGGAGAGACTCTCATCCTGTGGGCTCTCTCATGTGACTGTCTCATCTCCCTGCCATCAAGCTGAGTTGTGACACACACCCTGTTAGAGCTGCAGCTTCCTGTCAACATTTCTCACATTTTGTGCTAAATGTAGATACGCTGGTCTCATTGTGGCTTCCTGGCCTCTCAAACCCCGTGCATTAAATTTTAGGGTAGACCCTCACCTGTTACTGAAAGCGGTTTGAAAATGAATAAACTTCAGCACCATGGACAGAAGACAAAGGCTTGACTTGGTGTGATTTCTTTCTTATCCAGGAGGATGGGAATTCAGCCTAACACTCCTCATTTTATCCTCGGTCAGAGCAAAGAATGCTCAGCTTCTTTCTCCTCCTTTCATTTCTCCCTCCCTTCCTCTTTTTTTTTTGAGGGGGGCACTCAAATTGCAGTCCTCAACCTGCTCTGCCTTGCCTTCCATCCACAGTCACAGATCCTGAAAAAGCCACAGGGGACCAAAGGGGCATTTATTTTTAATCAGATTTGCTCACATTAAGGGAACTTATTTATTGAAAAGAAAATTCACAAACATCTGGACTCTTCTTGGCTACATCTAATGTAGCTTGTGCTCAATAGGCAATTTTTGCACTCCCAATGCTTTTTGGTTACAGGGTTTTTTGAGGCGGGGCACATTTAGAAAAGGAGAGTACTAACTAGATTTTCTCTGATACATTCGGGAGGGTTAGCCGCTGCAGCTAAGTGAATGGCACTTTTAGTTTCGAAAAGAGTAGGCAGTGTTGCATTCAAAAACTATGGAAAGTAAAGAAAGAAATGTTTGCTATGCAGACAAACTGCAGGTTTATGTGCCTTTTGTGCACTGACACACGCCTTTGGAAAACAGCTGTGGTTTTCTCCTACTTTGGGTCCAAGAGGCCTGGATTTGTGTTTATTGAGGTGGAAGCCACTGGAAAAGACACAGTATTTTGTTTCTTCTGAAAACTGTCCTATGCAGCAAAAGCCAGGCACTAAGGTCACCTTAAATGGGGTGCAGAACTCTAACCTGTCTTCCCCCAGCCCTATTCCCTCCACAGACCCCACATTCAGATTTTGTGACCCTTTGAGACCCCCCACACCTACATGTGATCGTCTGTGCCCTTCTTTCTGCTGTTTCTTCCACGTGGGATGCCACTCACCCCGTCCCCCTGGGGACATTCTCCTCCGCACTCATGGTGAACGCCACTTCTTCCCTGAAGCCACAAGCCCAGCACAAACTAGGCTCTTGGTGGGAGGAATTTTACATGTAACTTATGAGTTCACTTGCATGTGATTGTGTGTCCCTAGAGGACACACACACACAATCTGCAAATGCCCCTTCAGCACTCCCAGTTGAGGCTCCATCAATGTTGGCCAAACTGTCTTGGTCTTGTAGGGGAATTGGGCAAAGAGGAAACAAAGTAGTGATTTGCTTCTTGTACGTGAACTGATGGTAAGGGGTGGAGGTGGAGGGAGAGCTCGAATCTAACCACCTCCAATCAACACGTTCCTTACTCTGGCCTCAAATCCCAAAGGGCAGAAAATCAGGCAGCAGAGAATGACTGACAAGGGCAAGAGAGACGGAACTGTCCAAACTTGGCTCCTGAGGTCCGGCGCTGGGGGCATGGGTTGCTAGGAGGGGGAAGAGTGTACACTGGGGACATTCCAAGCTGTCACCATAACACAGGACGGAACTGACTGAAACTGACAACTACTCATGGCAGAAAATGTCCCTGGAACTGAGAGGACACCAGGGGACAGGCAGAAGAACCTGGACTGACTGGGACCGTCTCTGACCCTGGTGGAATGGCAGCTTAGGGCAGATCAGAGACAGAAAGTCACACTTCTTGCAGAAATAAATGCGAGTGGATCAAAGCCACGGCAGATGGCAAAGACAGAAGCTAGCCACAGGTCTCACCAGCTGCAGCCCAGCACGGATTTCGTTGTCTTCTGGTCGGACATCAGGGGACTGTGTCTGTGGGTCAGTTCCTAAGCATGGCCCCGTGAGGAAATCGTGCTTCTCCATCTGGTGCTCTGGGAAGCGGGCGCTGGCAGAAGAGAGGCTTTTACAGAAGATCCGTAAACAAGGGCAGTGCTCATTCAAAGGGAGAAACAGAACAGTGGAGACTAGGGACTCTTGCTAAGATCCACAGGACTAAATTCAGTCTCACCAAGGAGGTAGCTGCCCAGTAGGGATAAGTGGGCCCCGTGAACGAAGAGCCCTGCTGGGCAGCTCCAGGAGGGGAGAGCTGAGACCACAGAACTACTTCCCAGCGCCGTCATTCTTACATATGAGAGAAGAAGTAAAATAAAAACCAAGAACCCTTGAAAGAAAGAGCACTGTGGCGATAAAGGCTAAAGGACACAGATGGAGATGTTTTATTCTGACATGTTACGGTTACAACGAGAACTTCTAAGTTCCAAAAGTTCAAATAAAAATAGCACTTTACAAATTAAAAAAAAATACAATTTATATACACAAGATTAGCTCACATTACCATATAAACAGTGCAAACAGAAAAAGGAAGCTGCGACTGTCAAGCGACCGAGGTCCACAGGGGCTGGGGGCGATACTGCACATCAACACTGCAGGGCCAGGGAGGTGGGGGGTGCTCCGGCCTTTTCAGAAGTTTTTTGTCACCCAGGGCCATGTCAGTGCACAATTCTGCATCAGAAACGCCATCTGGTAGGCTGGGCCGAGCCAGCATCCATTCCAGCTGGGGACTATTAGACGAGGCCACGAGCAAATCATCCCCCAGAGTGCACCGGCCCCATGCCAGGAGCAGGGGCCTGCCAACCCCGCTCCCTGATTGCCCCAGCTGGGGGGCCACGAAATACCACAACAAAACACAGAAAACCACCTCGAGCCACCCCCAGACTCCCCTCTGGGGATTGTTGCTTTACCGAGGTGCCTTATCACTGGCAGCCGACGGGGCGGGTTTAATAGGCGAAGCTGCAAACACTGCTTTCTACTGTACAGAGACTGAGGGAGCAAAGCTTACGGTTACTTGTCACGAGTGGAGAAGGTGATGTCTTTGGGCTTATCTGGAGAGGGCGGATGCAGAGGGAGGAGAGGAAACCACGTGCCTTTGCAGAGGGGCCTGGGTGTGGGTCCTCCGTGGCAGCCATCCAGTCAGTTCGGGGGGAGGGAGGCATTTGCATTCTACCGTCTATCTCTGGCTAAACTGACGGGAACAAAATATCCAGTGACTTAAACACAACACGATGTGCACGAGGGATACGTTCCAACGACATTCACCAGTGGCAGCCTCGAGGCAAGTGGCCAGTGACCCAGCCCTCCAGAGCCGGGGTCCTCCTGCAGGGCATGAGCTCTGCCAATTCCAGGAACGGGTGGAAAGAGGGGCGAAATGTCTGTGAGGGGTGGTCATGCCACTCTGCTGACTTGGACGACTGGTTTCCTTCTTAATCAGAGGAAGAAAGGTGGCCCAGCTCTGACCACCACCATAAAGTAAAGCGGCAGCTCGTTGAACACAATCACATTTACAAGGGTTTTGCCTTTTTGGTCCTTGTGATCTCCTGAACTATTTACTGGGAGTATCATCCCCATTTCACAAGTCAGGTGCATCCAGGGGAACTGAGGGCGAGAGGACAGCATTGCCAAGGCCAGGCACCGAGGCAGCAGGCAACTTCTATGGTTTGAAAGAAACTAAATGCAGACCAATGCCATCTTGAGTCCCAAAGTATGTCTGCCTCAGGGACACCTGATGGGGCCAAGACGTTCACAAACCTGTGGCAGTTAGGGGAAGGTATGCAAATGCTTGATGCCAGGATGCTCACCCTGGGGGCCTAGTCCGAGAGGGGACCAACCAGCCTGGAGAGAAATGAAGTCACCGAAAGAGGGGGCGGTTCCTACACTCAAAGCTAAAACCCGCAGGCACACGCTGGCAGGGAGCATCTCCCCACCCAACCTCCCTGCAGGGCAGAGACCCTCCTGAAGTTTCTGCGTAGGCTGGGAAGGCTAAGAGCAGGGAGTGAGAGACGTCTGTGAAGGGCGGACACCTTCTTCCTCGAATCAGCCATCCGCATCATCACAACATGTACCTTTCGGTGGTCACTGGCTCAGGAGTTGCCTCCTTCCCCAGAGTTCAGTGAAGCCGTCTTATCTATGGGTGCCCTGCATTCAGCTAACTTTGGCAGGTGACGCCAAAACCCTTCGAGCTGTGGCTGTTTCACCAGAAGACAGGATAAACTCTTAAGGAAAGTTTAGTAGTTCATGGAGATGAAAAGAATCAGGGTAGAAACGTGTTAATAGGAGACCATGAATAATTTACAAATGGAAAGAAAGCTGAAATGTTACCAACCAGGTGGATGGAAATCTGACCCTCTTATCAGATTTATCATTCAGAGATTACCAGAGGGATTCTAATGCTTTGTGGTTCTGGTGCGTAGTGGTTCCAAGGAGATTCAAACCACAGGAGCCAGACCGGAACACCTGCTCACACCGAGGAAGCAGAACACCCCCTTCAAATGAACTACAGAAGATGTGGAATTAAGAGTCCCAACAAAGGAAGGCCTCCCTGAAACACGGAGAATTTTCTTAGTGCCTAATTCCTAAATTTAGTCATTAACTGAATTTAAAACTGGCGCATCCCTCCCGGCCCCTAGTGTTGCCCTGGCCAAGGTCCCTCCCATATATCCATGGCAACAGCTGTGATCGCTAGGAAAGCAGCAAAGACGGGGCAGGAACACTGCTTGGAGTGTCACCCAGCGGTCTGCCTGACTTCCACCCCTGGTCCTGACTCTAGTGGTGACCACGGTGGGCCTGTGCCAACACTGGAGGGTAGGAACTCGGGGGGCAGGGAATGGGAAGATACTTGCTGAGGAAGTTAGGAAAGTCCAGACTCTGATGGTTCCAAACCCTCCCCAGGTTCTCTGACCAGCAAAATGATGGATGACTCCAGGCTTTCCAAGAGGGGGGTGACTAGGAATCTTCCGTGCAACCCCAGCCAGCTGTGGTGGCTGGAGTGAGCGAGCTGCCTGCCCAGGCAGCCCTGGGAGAGGGGGAGCTGGCCCCTCACATGGTCTGGTAGTGCTGCCTCAGTCGGGCCTGCAGAAATTCGTATGTCAGGTTGTGCCGTGTAATGATCCCAACGATCTAGGACAAGGAGAAAAAGGCCAAGTCACCTGCAGGATAAAACCCACTGGCAAGAATGGGGGTGAGAAGAGCCAGCCCCGTCAGTTTGTCACAGAATATGGAGGAAGAGAAAATCAGTGCAGGGCCAGATATGGCATGACCAGGGCTCTTAAACTGGAGACCAAGGGGACAAGTTTAGCTAGAATGGGGGGGGGGGCAGCCAACATTCTGGAACATTCTTAAACAGAGCATGTGCTATAGCTCTAGCTCCCATCATGCCCAGCCTGCTCCACAGACCTGTGCAAGAGGTGGGGCCCTTGGATGCTTCTGAGGTCGTGACCCCCGCTGCATCTTACACTCTCTACCTTGCAGAATGAACTACGAGCCATTTGTCAGTTTATGGTGGTTCCTGCTTGTCACTGATGGGGGTAGCCCAAAGTCATACCATAAACAGTGTTAGAACTGGTCAGTGTGGTCGGCAGTTACGATTCAGGGAACAGGATTTAATCTACTGCAACTAGACCTGCACGAGGACGTGCTGTGCGCGGGTTACGGGCAGACCTGGGAGGAAGAGCGAAAGGGGACGACACCTCGGGAAGGTAACGCGGGTAACTCTGCAGGGTGGGCATGAGCATTTGGTTTTTGTTTTTTGCTCATCTGTGTTTTCATATGGTTTTACAATGAAATAGTGTTTGTGTGATAACAAAAAAATGAAGTTCTAAAAATAAGAAATGAAAAAGTCTGCTGCAGTAATTACTGGATGCTGTATCTCTGTAAAACTCAAAATAGTATGCTTGAAATTCTCTCATTCAGTGTTCTGAATCCCCGCAACGGGTGGGGCGCTAAGGAACACCGACAAGAGGTCAGGAGGGAAGAGAGACGCTGTGGACACGAGGGACAGCCCTGCCCGGTACTGGCCACTGGGAACTGGCGCCATCTGCTGGCCAGGCGGGGACAGGGTCCCAAACACCCAGGAGGCCAAGGGGGCGGGTTTTCACCAGGCCAGCTCCTTCCAGCCCCTGGGCAGGGGAGGGGGGGAGTGCTGGTGCTTCCTCCTGCCTGCAGGCCCCCACCCAACCAGCTCCGTGGTCCGAGGGTCCTTTTTCACAGGTAGGGGCAAGGGGCCTGGCTTCCCTGTTCTGCCCCCAGACTCAGACTCACCTCTCCCACGGCATTCACCACGGGCAAGTGGCGCAGGCCCATGGTCCTGAACAGGTTGAAGACTTGGGAGACATGGGTGTTAGGTGAGACGGTGAAAGGCGAAGGGTTCATGTACGGGGTGACATCCTGCAGGAGAGACAGCACACGTCACCCGCAGCCTGAGACGCCAACTGCATAGATGGGCTGCGTTCTGCACAGGACAGGCGGGGCTGGGGGGAGGGCAGCCCTTCTCACCACAATCATCCTTGGGTTCAGCAGCGTCAGGTCCAGGTCGTGGATGTCTGGGTACTTCGGGTAATCCTCAGCCATCTCGGCGTAGGAAAGGCGGGGTTGGTTGGCGCTCTGCAATTCCAACCAAGACGCCGTCCTTGCTCTGAGCAGCGGCTTTGCTCTGAGCAGCGGCAGCGGCTGGAAGGGTCACACTTTGAGCCCCTCCCCCTTTAAGTCTGAATCTGTCCAGCCACGCCCCACACTCCACCAAGAGGAAGGCAGTGCAGAGCCATGGCCAGCAGCAGGTGCTCTGGACTGAGACATCTCAACCCAAAGCCAGTTCTCAGCCAATTCCCAGTGGGTCACCCTAGGCACTCTGATCTCCCTCAAGTTCCCTTCCTTCATCTGCGAGATGCAAATGGGTTACTCCAAAGCTTGAATGAGAAAAGTGCTAACAGTAGCAGTGGTGGGTTGAACTACCCCAAAAGATATGCCCAGGTCCTAAGTCCTAGTACCTATGAATGTGACCTTACTGGAAATAGGGTCTCTGCAGATTCTCAAACATGAGGTCATGTGGGATTAAGGTGGACCCTAAGTTCAAGGACAAACGTCTTTACAAAAGGGGAAAGGACACACAGGGAGAACGCCATGTGACAGCAGAGGCAAAGCTGGAGTGATGTGTCTACACTCAAGGAGCACCAAGCATGCAGACAACCCCTGTGCACTAGGAAGAAGCAAGGATGATCCTCTCCTAGAGCCCGCAGAGCATGGCCTGGCCACACCTGGATCTTGGACTTCTGGCCTTGAATTGTGAAAGAATAAACTTGTTGCAGGCCACCCACTTTGTGGCCATCTGCTACAGCAGCCCCAGGAGAGAGGTGCTGGCTTGTTACCCTTCCTCTACTCCAGGCCTACCGCTCTCTTTCTCTCGGTTCTCACTGCTGCTATCACTGGACACGGGGCCACCACAGGCTCTCAGGCTGGGCACAGTGACCACAAGCACTGGTCACAGCGCTCCTGTAGCAGGATCTTCCCCCCCACTCCACTCTGCACACCCTCACCTTTACGCAGCTTCCCGTCATGCCACCCACCGCCCGCAGGGCAGCACCCGCCTCCTCACAATTTGTTAAGCCAGGCTGGCTGATTTCTGCACCCAGGCAAGGCATTCTGGACTTGGTGCCAGGTGCTGCACGTCACCTTCTACCCCACCTCCAGCCAGGCCCTCTGCGCCTCACCCCACGTTAACTGCCCTCCTGCAGGCTAATGGGACCATGGGTGGCTTCAGGTCCATGTCCCACAGCCAAGACCCCAACCAGGAGAGCTCGTTTGGAAATGAGGCCTCTGGGTGACTTAGTCCATCTCCTTCTAAAGAGACAAAGTGTCCTGCCCACCTCTGCTCATCTCTAAAAACCAAACAAGAGAGGAAAAAGAACTGCAGGGGACCAGACAGGAAGAATGGTATTTCTTTTGACAATATACATGTGGGACTAGAAATTAAAATATACAAATTGCATTACAAGCCTGCAGGCCAGCAAACACAGGACACATGGTGCAGAGACTAGGTGAAGACCACCTGGAGGGCCTCACACTCCCCTCCCTGCACTGTCAGCTGGGTGTCACCTGAGGCGACAGCTGCAGAGGAGCCATGAGGCTGCACATGCTGCTGCACACGACAGCAGCCGCTGACACAAATGCTCAAAGCCCCACCTCTCTTTCCCTGAAGTGCAGGGACCATGTTCCTACCACCCTCCTGCCTTCCAGAACCTCAGTGCTAGCAAGAGAAGCTTACCGACTGGCTCTCAGAATAACAAACTCCGCGGACAAGCAGGGTGACAAGCTGCGACCGAAGGATCAAGCCGTGGAAGGTCAGAGGGCGGAAGCGTTCCTCCATGGTCCAGTCTTCACTTGGGGACTGGTCAGGATACAGGTTGGGGTAGGGAGTGTATCTGTCACACAAAAACCAGATGCTGTCTAGGATACCCTTGGCAGGACCACTTCTCTGTGCCCCCAACCCACACCCCAAATTCCTAAGAAACTCAGGAGCCACCTCTGCCGTGACCCTGCAGGCAGCCAGTCGCTCAGCTGCCCGTGCTCACCTCCTCTCCAGCATCTGCTGCAGGAGGTCCTCCTTCTCGGCCGCATCCTCAGAGGCGATGTGCTCGTCACACATGTGCCGCAGCTCGCTGGACGGGTAGGACTTCATGGACTGGCTCCGTTTGCGCTGCTCGCCAGCTCGGGTGAGGATGCTAGATTTCTGCAGATTGGGGTGGGGGGTGATGATGGCAGGGGCTTCTGCAAGGAGGCCGCGGACTGCCGCACACAGGCACACCGGTGCAGCAGCACCGACGCAGGAATGCCAAGGAATTCTCACAGGGGGTATGGTTCAGGCCCGAGGACTGGACTGCAGACCTCGCAGTTTCTGCTGGCCCGACACCCCCACTCCACTGATTCGGGGAGAGCACCTCAACTCTCCAGAGAGGAACAAGCCCTCCCACGTCCTGTCTGGGCAGGACCGTCAATCAGTGCACCCGCCCCCAAAGCCACGGGGTGGGCCATGCAACGCCAGCGAGGCAAGCGCCTCTCCCTGTCCGGGATCTGACCCAGAGGAACCCAAGGACAGAGAACGGCCATGCACGTCCCTCCTGGGTCCCCAAAGGGCGTCCACCAGACCCAGCACACGACCCCATGGCACCCCACCCTGGTTCTTCAGCTTTCCTGTCAGTCCTGAAGCTTCCAATTGATTTTTTTCTTTTTAAAAGTAGGTCAAAGTCCACTTCTGTTGTTGGCAACTCTAGAACCCTCCCTCAGGATAAATAATGAATAATGAAACCTGTCAGTTGACTTAAAATAAAAAGATCTGTCCATATGCTTACTGCGGCAAGAATGAACGCACGTCTTGATGGCCTAATTAAGTCCGTCCTCGCTGTCAAATCTCTACTTAAAGTCATGTATGACGAGAATGGCGCTGATTTCCCCTAAGACCCAACCAAGCCCACTGCAGCCAGGGGGCGTGGCAAGCACCAAGCCGTGAGCACCAAGGGACAGTTGTCTTCTCTCACCCACCTTTCCACTCGAGGCTGTTTCCTTTACCTTGAACTTGATGTTGTTGCTGATAAGCTGGTTGCCCTTCATGAACTCCTTCTCGTTGCCGCGGTTCTCTGTCACCACCGGGAAGGCGTGGTGGACTGTGGTGCGCAGGATGCTCACCAGGGACTGGATGCGGGTGTGCGGGTACACGTAGGTCAGGTTGGGCTCCATGATGTCGCTGGCTCTCAGTCTGGGGGGAGGGAAGCCATCCAGCCTCATGATGGAGCCCACAGGCCGCAAGCTGTGACTCGGCCCTGCTGGGTCCTCCATCCCTGCCTGGACCACCCGGGACCTCTCTCTGAACCATCTCCCAGTGCCTTCCTCTGTACTTCCGTCCCTCCACACACGCTGTTCCCACACCCAGAACGCCCTTCCGAGCCAGTGGGTCTTTCCTCCTCCTTCAGCTCAGTACCGACATCCCCTCACCACAAGCCCCCGCTGCTTGCCTGGGGGTTGGCTACCCCTCCCTGGCACATTCCACCTATCGCCACTGAATTGCTAACACCGCTACTAGAATTTTAAAAACAACGTTTTGGTCTCCCTTGAGATCAGAGGGTGGCAAACCACAGCCCACAGATCGACTCCAGCCATGCTCACGGCGTTCCTGCTACTAGAGCAGAGTTGAGCTGTGACAGAGACCACAGGGCCCGAAAAGCTGACAACGATCAACTCTCTGGCCCTTTACAGAAAAGGCTGCCGGCCCTGCACTAGCCCATGAGGGCCTTGCCTGACATCCATACGTATCCGTGGATTATCAGGTGGTTGCCAGGTGATTACGCCCAGAACAATCACCATTGACGGTATGACATTTTGTTAGGACATGTAAAACAACTAGTTCTCACTCCTGGGGTTTGGTATATCCTTAAATAATCACTCATATCACAAACCTGACCCAGAGACCTCATGTCGTATCTAACCAGAACGCCACAGGAGCCAAACACAGCCATGAAGCGGCCCTGCCTCCTGTAGCCCCCGCCATGTCCCTCTGTCCCCTCCCCCTGACCCCTAGCCACCCCGGGCTGCTCAACATTCCCAAACATGCTCAGGAACAAACATGCTGTGTCTTTCAGCCCAAGAAACGTGAGTTATTGTTTCCTGCCCTAGTGCCAACAGGCCAGAACTTAGACATTCTGAACTAGGACACGAGAAAGATCACAGCCTTACTTGTCCATTTCCACCTCCGTCTCCCACTCCAGAAGCGGCACACCTCGCAGGTCCACATGGATATCGTAAATGCCCTTATTGAAAAAGTCCCCTGTCCATTTGGCCACCTGAAACACAAAGCGAAGATCTACACATAGGCCCTTTGGGGTAAACGTGGCCCTGAGCCTGCAAGTGGCCTGGAGAGACATGCTCACCATCAGGGTGATCATGATGGGAAGCCCGTAAGTGATCTCATTGGTAGACTCGATCAGGATGACCGTGAGACTGATGGTCATACGGACGACCCCACCCAACAAAGCCGCAGCACCAACCAGGGAAAAGGTCCCTGAATAGATGTGGCTCAATCCAATGTAGCTAGTGAAGAACAAAACCAAGAACATGGCTTAGAATCACACTGGTGAGTTGGCGGGGGGGGGGAGACATAGGGAGGACACAGAATTCACACGCCTGTGCATATGCACACATGTGCGCGCACACACACACAGAGTACCTTTTTAGGATGTTGGCAACTAAACGTCCATAAGCTGCTCCACACAGCAGAGAAGGTACAAAAAGGCCACTTGGGACAGAAACGCCGTAAGTCCAACACGCAAGAAAGAAATAGAAGACGATGAACAAGGAAAGAGTGACGGGGCTGAAGGTACCTACAAGGCAAGAACCGACCTGAGTTCCACCACCCGATGCCAGCCTCGGCCCACCTCAGTCTGGGGGGAGGGACGCCACTGAGCCTCGTGACGGAGCCCACAGGCGCCTGAGCGCATGCTGGGACGTGGCGTCTCCCCTCCTGCCAGGTCCTCCTCTGCCCCAAGCAGCTCCCCTCTGCCACTGCAGGCAGAAACCAATCTTTTGTCTGGGCTGGTATCACAAAGGACAAGTCCTGTTCTTGCCCAGAGTGAAGGCCAGTCTGGCCGTGTCTGGGACGAAACCAGGCCCAGGCATGGGCCGAAGCACAGGCACCCACCTTCCTGGTGGAAGAGCTGGAGGATGGCAGACTCCTGGGGGTTGAAGAAGAGTGTGGCCATGTCATTGTAAGTATCATTGGGACAAAAAAACGTCTTCATACTTGAATTCACATCTTCTGTTCTGACCTAAGGAGCAGGAATCAGGAAGTCAGTAAAAGGACACCTGATCTTGAGTCTTCAACTAGGATGTCTCCAGCTGTGGCAACAAAGAAAAGTGTCTTGGCCGGGCGTGGTGGCTCAAGCCTATAATCCTAGCACTCTGGGAGGCCGAGGTGAGTGGATCACTCAAGGTCAGGAGTTCGAGACCAGCCTGAGCAAGAGAGAGACCCCGATTCTCCACTAAAAATAGAAAGAAATTAATTGAGTGACTAAAACTATACAGAAAATTCTGTAACTACCTGATCAAGGACCTGTAAATAAAATAAAATAAAATTTTATCTTAAAAAAAAAAAAAATATATATATATATAGAAAAAATTAGCTGGGTCTGGTGACATGTGCTTGTCGTCCCAGCTACTCAGGAGGCTGAGGCAGGAGGCTCGCTTGAGCCCAGGAGTTTGAGGTTGCTGTGAGCTAGGCTGACGCCAGGGCACTCTAGCCCAGGCAACAGAGTGAGACTCTGTCTCAAAAAAAAAAAGGTGTCTGGACAGCTTTCATCATAAATCAAACAGGCAGCAAAAACCTGGTCTATACTGTATTCATTGCATTTTGAATGCAAAGAGTGAAAGACTCAGGATGAGGGCCTTTGTCCGTCCACACTCATAATGGAAATGTCACCACAGCTATGATTCACCACCGATTTGGTTCTGCTTCCTCTCTTGGTGCTGATGTTCTAAGTGACGCCGCTGCCAGGAGCCTGGCCCGAGAGGCCCAAGGACAGTGGGAAGATGACGCAGGTGAAAGACAAATGGCTGAGAGTTGACGGGTGTTTGGGGACAAAAGTCCAGGGCACCACTTGACCTGCAGCCCCAACTTTAGTTCTAAATGGAAAAAGCCTTTTCCCTGAATTTGCTGCAAGATAAAACCCACCTCCCCACAAGGTCTGGGAGCAGACCCCACGCTCCCAGCTGCCTTTCCTCCCAAACCCCACCTGGTGAACAGAACCAAACATGAACATGATTTCTGTACATTTCAGACCTCTTTTTCTTGCCATCATTCTGTGTGAGAAGGTGAGATTCTGGTTCTCAGTAGAGGGCAAAGGTGTCTCAAGTATGACACTTCTCATTTTCTAGTTGCTGGTGTACAACGGCATGAGGGTTGTACTTCACACCTATCCCACGCTTGTGAATAGGGAGTGTTACTACAAAGACTCGTTAAGGATGGGTTTTTCCCGGATTCAGTTCTACTGACGATGCTGTGTAGAGACATCCTTAGTGGACATTGTAACGACACTAGGTGGTGGTTTGTGTGATCCTGCCAGGTGACCGTTGCTGGTGATACAGCTGGATGCGGGGAGCAGGACAGCGCCCCCTGCTGTCAGAACCTGGCAAGGAGGAACTGTGCCGGAGCCCCAGCCTGCAGAGCAGAGCGACAGGCTGAATTGACAGTTTAATAAACAACACATGTAGCGTTTCCCAAACTGTCTGGAAGAACATCAGTCCTGAAGGCTCTCTGGAAAGAGTCCCGCCCGCAGTCAGCCGCACTGAGAAGCATCGCAGGAATTTTTGTAAATCAGTGTGTCTGCTAAAAGCATAGCACAGGCCCCAAAATTAGATGGCTTTGATCTACTCTGCCACTCCCTAGTGACCTTGGGAAAGGTATTTCATTTTGTGCTGCTTCAGTTTCCTCATCTATAAAATGGGAATATCTCCCCTCATGCTATATATTACTACCTGAATAATCTTGATCAAGACCTCACTTTGCTTCAGTTTTCTTATCTGTAAAATGGGGATACTACTGGCCAGCATGGTGGTGGTAAAGAGTAAATGAGATCATTTATGTGACTGCTTAGTGGGGTATGTGGCACACAATAAATACGCCAACATTCATAACACTGACTGGAAGAAAGGCCCTAGGAAATCCTATATTAAAGGAACTTATTTAATACTGGTTAACCCATTTGACCATGACATTTTATTTGTTTTTGAATCATATATATCAATGCTCAATAACAGAGCACATTTTGAAAAACGCTGGTCTGGTAATGAGCTGGCCTTGGGGGCTGGTCTTGGGAATAACTAGTGACAGGGGTCAGCAAACTTTTCCATAAAGAGCCAGATAGTAAATATTTTAGACTTTGCAGCCACATACAATCTCTGTGACATATTCTTTATTTATTTTTCCAACCCTTTAAAATTATAAAAACTAGGCCAGGTGCGGTGGCTCACGCCTGTAATCCTAGCAGGAGGCCGAGGCGGGTGGACTGCTTGAGGTCAGGAGTTCGAAACCAGCCTGAGCAAGAGCGAGACCCTATCTCTACCATAAATAGAAAGAAATTAATTGGCCAGCTAATATATATAGAAAAAAAATTAACCGGGCATGGTGGCGCATGCCTGTAGTCCCAGCTACTCGGGAGGCTGAGGCAGGAGGATTGCTTGAGCCCAAGAGTTTGAGGTTGCTGTGAGCTAGGCTGATGCCTCGGCACTCACTCTAGCCTGGGCAACAAAGCAAGACTCTGTCTCAAAAAAAAAAGTATAAAAACTATTACTATTCTTAGCTCGGGGGCTATATGAAAACAGGCAGCTGCCAAGGGCCAGATTTGGCCCGTGAGCCACAGGTGCCAACCCCTATAATCCATTCTAGCTGTTCCCGGACTGTTCCTGGGGACACTGAAGAGGCAGCCCTCCAAGACAAGGGCCCCAGAGGGGCTCTGAGAAATTCAAGATTCAAGTGGCTACTTAGAGCACAGTCATCCCTTGGTTCCCCCTATCTCCGTGGGAGATTGGTTCCAGAACCTCTGGTGGACACCAAAATTCTTGGATGCTCAAGTCCTTGATATAAAATGGTGCAGTATTTGCACGTAACCTCCACACATCCTCCACACATCCTCCATATATATACTTTTAAATCATCTCTACATTACTGGTATCTAATACAATGTAAATGCTATGTAAAATTATATTATTTTTTAAAATTCATATTATTTTTAGTAGTATTGTTATTTTTATTGTTTTTTCTAATACTTCTGATCCACGATTGTTGAACCCACAGATGTGGAACCCACAGAGATGGAGGGCAGACTGTATTTAGACAACACTCCCCACCCACCTCCACCCTAGTGCCGGAACCACGTGTCTGGCTGACCTCCTGAACCACAGGTTCAGCTCTCAGACCCACTGGATTGGACCAAAAACACAGGGTGGGGTAAGCTCCACTGCCTTCCTCATGGGCCCTGCTCCTCGGGGAAAGGCTCTGGAAAATACCACACATCCCAAGAAGGGAAAAGGAGAAATGCAGAAAGATGCATGCAGTAAGGGAGTCAAACCCAGTAAGGGTCAGAAGATGTTGAGGAGGGAGGATCGTTGTTCGCCCTGTGCAGACATTCCTTTCTCTGCACCCTAAGCGTGACTCCCACAGTCACAAAGACAGAGCAGTGGATGACACGCCTCTGGGCTGGGGGGCCCCCTTCAGACACGGAGAGAGTGACTGGGGCGTGGAGTTCCCCTCTGTGATGGCCAGGGTTGTTCACAAAAGTGGAAAAGGCAGAACGCATTTGGTATACAGCCTCTCTTAGGTATAAAAAGACAACTACAAATTTCTCTATCATTTAGCAATCTGATACAGGTATGTAAGAATAAACCCAACACATCTATTAGCTCTAAACAGAGGCAAGTCATACATTTCTGGACTCTTCTTGGTGGGTATAGGATAAAGACAGCAGGTACACTGGGGTTACCTGTTGGTATGAGTCATTGCGGACGTGTTTCGAAAATGACATCTGTCGGCATTCTCCTAACACCATTGAGGCCACAAACACCACCACGGTGGTCACCAGACATATCAAGAGGCTCTCCAAAACTCTGGGAAGCAAAGAACAGCTGTTATCATGCAATAAAGAAAGATGCTTTGGTCTTAGGAACTTGAAAACATAACCCTACCGACCCTCCACCCTCGTTTCCCCAAAGAGCATTTATAGTAGCCCCTGGCTGGTCAACATGTTTGCAGAATTTATCAGTGACCTGCTGTATTCCAGCAGTTTGTACATAAATCATGGGCTGTCAACAAAGTGGGCTGCGGCATCCACGTCATCTCTCTCCAAGGAACAAAATGGCCTTCAATGGCAAGTTTCCAGCAGGGCCACAGGGACCCTGTGTTTCTGACTGTGTCATGTGTCCGAAGTGGCCAAGAGAGGCTGGGTGTCAACCAGCAACCCTGACATAAATTAAGCTCAGACTTAGCCTTTTGATCTGCCTGACATCTGTCTACATGTTCAGTCTTAGATGAGAAATCAAGACTGCTATGGGAAGCAGGGTCTGCTCCTCAGGAGAGATGGCCTGGCCCACGCCAAGCTCAGGGAGCCACAGCAGGCTGGGGAAGGCAACTGCAGATACCTGACGAGCTTGGGTTTCGGGTGCACGTTTCGCATACGGTACTTTGCAAGCCTCTTGTTCAGACAGTTGAATATGGCTCCCAGAAGGCCCCCAATGACACCCATCACGACGAAGAGACCCAAATCCATAGCTGTCCAGAGATGACATTTTTTATCAGAGTCAGAGCACTGAGAGGAGCAAAAAGAGAGAGAGAGAGAGAAACCACAGCAGCTGTAAGAACAGGAAGGGACAGAAGAGGTGGAGACAGAAGCAAGAGCCAGGGCTGCCTTCTCTTCTACAGAAGCCTGGGCGCGCAGCAGTTCTCATGCCAAGCACGGGCACACACGGAAGAGGCTACAGGGGTGACATGCCCCTGCTAGAAGCCATACCTACCCCTCTCAATCACTTCTCTCTGGGCCTTCACTTATGAGCAATTTTCATGGGTCTAGTAAGAAATCCTGGGGAAAAGGACAAAACATACCTTAAACTCGCCAAAGTTGAGCAGTCCAGGGAGCTGGAAGGAGCCCCAACTTCCAAACTGAATCCCAGAGCGGAAGAAGTTGAGGGTGAAGGTGGCAGACATGGAACAAAAGAGCTAGGAGACAGGTGACAAAAGACAAGGAGGTTCAATAATGATATATTCTATTCTCCCCTTACCCTTCCTCCTAAAACCCACCACTCTGCACAGGGACCTGCAGAATCTAGGCTGGGGTACAGGGATTTGGTGACAACTGCAGTAGACATACCCCAAGTAAAACAAATTTTATGTCAAGGGATTTCACAAGACTTCATTCAGGCAGCCTGCCATGGGCGCCTATTTACTGAGAGCCTATAGTAGACCAGACCCTGCACCAAGAAGGAAGGGTAAACGCAAGGGCAAGGACACTGTACTGAGGTAGGAGCCAGGCTCAGGTCCAGGCCTTGTCACTTCCCACCTTATAATGATAGCCAGTTTCACGTTTTTGTGTCAGGTGGTTCATCAAGAGAGGATAACAGCAGTATGATTTGGGGTTCACTGGGGGATGGGGAAGGTATTGCTATGAGTAGTATAGAAAGTCCACTGTTTGGAGGTTATGGGCACTAGAGCAAAGGAATTTCTAATCGAGCCAACCCTTCCAGTCTCATCAAAGCTCCCATTAAATGCACCGAGTAAGAGATGTCCAGTTTAATTTTAGGGGGTGTGGTTAAGCCTAGGAGGTGGTGTGCACAGAAGATCCTCCTCACCACTTTCCATGTGAGCCCCTGGTTCCAGAAGGATGATCCCTCCTCCAGACTGAACAGGGTACCCCCAATCGGGGCCCCAAAAGCTGCAGCGATTCCGGCAGATGCCCCTGCTGATACGAAGTCTCGCTTGTCTCTGAAGAGAGAAGAGAGAGAGATGGTTCGTCCAAAAAGAGCCCTCAGGCCACAAAAGCTAGTTTCTCCCTTCCTCGTCCATGAACATTTTGTCTCATGACCTCTGGGTAGTCAGGGATCACGAAAGGGCAGGGTCCTGGTGGCACAGCCTTGGCAGCATGGACAGCTCCCCTGACAGCCAACATTGCACCGGAGCCCCGGCAGGTCCAACGGCTCCTCTGCCTGGGAATGGGGGGTCCCTGACAGGTGTTCACTCTGTGATCACAGAATCCCAGCCCCCAGCTCAGATGGCAAATCAAAGCTTGCTGCCAGTCAGTGCTGAGCCGGATCTTCCTTCCCACCAGATCTTCCTTCCAGAAAACCACACAGCACAGTGAAGATGTGAAGGTGCCTGCTGGTTACATGCAGAGCAATAGGTGAACGATGACTTGCAAGAACACACAGGTGGGAAGGTCCCTAACACTGGACTAGGCCTGATTCCAAGGGCCTTACAAAGTGTGCAGGTCAGTAACACACACAAATCCACAGGACTGGAAAGCCTACCAAGGAGAGCACCTTCCAACCCAGGGAGGCAGGTGACCAAGTAAACCATCTGGGAATACAAATGCCCTCTTGATAATATGCTTGCCTGTGGCCTTTCCTGGTTGGGTTTTCAATCTTTAACCATCTTCATTTGCATAGGATATTTCTAGGACTTAGGACATGATACAATAAAAGTCATGATGCCAATTTGGTCAAAGGCTACCTCCCCCTCTTTTTTTTTTTGAGACAGGGTCTCACTCTGTTGCCTGAGCTAGAGTGCAATGGCATCATCATAGCTCACTGCAACATGAAACTCCGGGGCTCAAGTGATCCTCCTGCCTCAGCCTCCCAAGTAGCTGGGATTATAGGTGTTTGCCACCACTCCTGGCTAATTTTTCTATCTTTTGTAAAGAGATAGTCTTGCTCTTGCTTAGGCTGGTCTGGAACTCCTAGCCTCATGCAATCCTCCTGCTTTGGCTTCCTAAATTACTGGGATTATAGGCGTGAGCCACCATGCCTGGCCCCCACATCATTTTCTAACAGTCAGGTTTCACGTGCAGCCTGCCTAGCAGTGGAGACAGAGCCAGGCTAGAGTAAGTATTAACTCTGACTGGCTGTACACTATTTTTTTTTTTTTTCAAAAAAACAATTCCTAATGTTTCCATACCTGTCACTTTGGAAATAGGGGAAGTTAATCTGGATCTTCCGTAAGGAGGAGGCCTGCAACTAAAACAAGAGAAGACAAAGTCAGGGGGGCCCACAACGACTGAAGCTGCATGAATCCATGGCACCTGGGTAGGCCCCTTTGATGGAGCACACTTGGGCAGGTGTGCTGCAAGAAGAGTCCAGAATAGCATTTTTTTTTTTAAATTGAGACAGGGTCTCACTATGTGGCCGAGGCTAGAGTGCAGTGGCTGTTCTTAGGCACGATCCCACTACTGATCAGCACGGGACTTTTGACCTGCTCTGTTTCCGATCTGGGCCAGTTCACCCCTCCTTAGACAACCTGGTGGTCCCCTGCTCCCGGGAGGTCAAAACCGATCGGCATAGCTCACTGCAGCCCAGAACTCCTGGGCTCAAACGATCCTCCTGCCCCAGCCTCCTGAGTAGCTGGGACTACAGGCGCACACCACCACATCTGGCCAGAATAGCAACTTGGAAAGAAAGAAGTTACCCCCTTTGGGAAGAGCTTATTTTTCCTGCCCCCAAATTTTTAGAACCTTCTGAAATTGTATTTTATGCACAGTCAAAAAGTCAGAAAATAAAAAGGAAAACAGCCAAGCCGAGGGCCGGGAGGAACTGAAAGCTGCTGCAGTAGCTAAAGTCGGCTCTGCTCAGGGGATGCCAGCGAGGGAAGAGGCCGACAGAGCCATTGCTCAGTCTGTCCCACAGCGTCTCAGGCTGATACCCACTCCACACTCGGGCCCCTCCCACCTTGCGCTCACTTCTATGAGACCTGGTACTTGAGGGAGTGACAAGAGAGAAACCAAAACACACGCTCTGAAAAAAAGACTCTTCCCTCCTCCACTCCAACAACTCACAGTCACAGTAACTTCCTCCCCTCAGGACAGGAGAAAGAACAAGTGACAGTTCACAAGGAACTGAAACTTCTCCAACCTGCAGCCCAGGAATCTAGAATAGCCCCTAAGAATGGGAGCTTTGGAGTTCTGAGCTAGTTCCTCAACCTCTCTCAGATTCAGTTTCCCCATCTGAGAATGGGGATGAAAATAACTTATCACTCAAGGTGGCTATAAAGAAGAAAGAAGTTGGTATATGCAGAATCGGGCACACAGACCACTTAGGCAGCAGCTGGCATTATATTATGACTCTACCATGCTAAACGGCATCGACATGAACTGTGCCTGCAACCGTCTCAGCGGATGCTTCCAGCCTCCTGGGATTCGACAGCACTGAGATGCTCCACCAACCCATCCTACATGGAGGTGCCTGGCAATGGCTGTGGGAGCACCAGATGACCTTCATTTGCCTATGTCACTCTTTTTCCTCTATGTCCCACTTCTGCTCCTAGGACTCAGCTAGGCATCATTAAAACTCGGAAGTGTAAGTGATGCACTTTCCTGGGAGATGGACCAGTTTTCATAGCAAGTCAAAATGGCACCAGGTTCCAAAGTCACGCTAGTATGCTCCCAGTGGATTTTTCCAAATTCAACCACAGACCTGCCCCTACGCCTGCCCGGGAGTCCTGTCAATCCTTACCTGAGGGAGGCCAGCTCCCACCACGGCGCCGCTGTGGATCATGGGGCCTTCCTTGCCCACGAAGAGCCCTGGGAATGATGAAGAAGGCAAGACCATCAGTCAGGAGAGAAAGACCTCCGGGTCAGGAGACCTTTGTACATAAGCTTTTCTTGTGATGGCTATAAAACCGAGATGATCATGTGACTTTGTAAGAGAAAGAGTTAGCCAAGTTCCCATCAAACAAGCTCCATTTAAGGCCTTGCTATAAGAGAAAATATTCTATATTCTAAATCAAGGGTAAGCAAAGTACAGGCCAGCGACCAAGACCAGCTCCCTGTTTTTGTACAGCCTGAGAACTAAGAATAGCTTTTACATTCTTATTAATAAATGGATACATTTAAATAGTTATATAAGTACCTACACAGTATCTTCAATTTTGCCTCTTGGCCCACAAAGCCTAAAATATTTACTATCTGGCCATTTACACAAAAACCTTGCTGACTTTGCTAAAAGCTAATTCCACAAACTAATTAGATGGTCATGCTATTTCAAAACAGAATGGTGTTTGTCAGATATCTCTCCATGGCAACGTATTAATACTAATAGTGTCTGTGATTTAAAAGTAACCCATGAACCAAAAATGCAGACATCACCTGTTTGAGGGTGGGCCCTGCCGTGCTAATCGAATTAATTCACATCCATATGCTTCTCATCCTCTTCACCCCTCAAATACTTAAAGAATAAAAGTCAGAAAGACCTTCCTTACCTCCAGCCACACTGAACAACACTCCAAGGGCCTTGCAGACCAGGGTCCGGAAACGGACGATGCCTGGAACCTTCACGCCATTCAGATAGCATTTGATCTCGGGTATCCCGGAACCTGCTGACACCGGCTAACGGGAGGGAAGAGGCACCCCCATCAATTCGAAATCCCCTGGTTCTTCGGCTCACCCCCAACAACCTTGGCAGCTAGCGAGGAAAAACTGTTCTTTATCAGGAGCATCAGTGTTACCCCGGAAGCTTGTTATGGGCCCCACCCCAGAGTCCCTGACCTGGTGGGCCTACGGGGCAACAGCAGGATCTACAATTCTAACAAGGGCCCTGTGAGTCAGCATGGTGGGGGGCGCTCTCAACAATCCACGCAGGCCCCTCCCTTCCAGAGACTCTCCTTGTCTGAGCTGGGGCCCAGTATGACCATTTTTTTAAAAGTTCTTCAGGAGATTCTAATATGCCACCACAGTTGAGGAACCACCACCCTCATCTATATTTTCCCTCTTTAGTCTCGCCAGAGGCTGAAACCTCTACTTGCAAAAACATTTCTAAGTGAACAAGAGGCTACTTTCTGCAGGAATCTGTATTCTCAGTTTCCCATTTGCAGAAATGGAAGTGGAGGAAAGGAGCGCAAGACTCCAAAACCTCATACGGAAACGGGCAAGTCCACAACACCTCACCTCAATTAGGACGAGAAGGCTTGCCAAGAAGACAAAGGTCAAGTTAAAACCCAAGAGTTCAAGGAGAGACAGGCCGAGGCAGCCTTTCTGGCTGCATTCCTCCACAGCTGCAGAAACTGGGTTAAGGAAACTGTGTGTACCAGCCAAGTGCAGTCCCTGTAATCACTTGAAAGAGCGGAGTTCCTCCTCTCCTGCATCGTGCTGGCTGCTCAGTGCAAGTCTTCCTGTTCTCCGTACATACGTTTTTTTAATAAATTGCCTGAAATGTCTTCCACCTTAGGAACCATTTTAAAATTATGAAATATTTCAAACAGTACAAACAGTAACAAACACCCCTACCCTCACAACCCTTTGCTAACCCTTCTTAACAAATTTCAACAGTATGCCTCATTTGCTCCAGATATTTTTAAAAAATAAAGCACCAAGTACCACTTAAAAAAAATAACAAAAAAACCCTTTGTTTTCCATTCTCTCTCCCCTGGGAGAAATCACTAACCTGAAACTGTGCATCCTTTCTGTATATTTATGTATCCATACTATTCTATATTGCACTTAATGTACATTCTACAGCTTCCTTTTTTATTCTCTCTCAACATTAAGATTTTGAGAATTAGCCATATTGACACATGCAGCTCTGGTTCATTCATTTTAACTTCTGTATAAAATTATATTGTACAAACGTACCACAATTTTTCCATTCTCCCATTTGGTGATTCCAAGTTTTTGCTATCACAAAGCTGCAATGAACCCCTCTGTACATGTCCAAGGTCCATCTCTAGAAAAGGAATTTATGAGTCATAGAAATTTGCAGTTTCCTATTTTTTTCCAAAGGTTTAGTTACCGTTCAGTTTTCCTCTTCTGAGAATTCCTATTCACATCCTTTGCTCACTTTTCTTTATTGGACTGTTTGGGTTTTTTCTTAATTTGCAACAATTCTTCCTACATTCTGGATACTAATTACTTGACTCTTAAGTGCATAGTAAATACTCTCTCCTAGGCTGTGGACTTACTCTTTCATTTTGTTGATTGTTTTGCTGTTGTTTGGAGTTTTTGTGTTTGTCTTTATAAATGAAGTATTTATTTTGATGTGGTCATGCTTACTGATGCTTTTCCTAACAGTCTGTGCTTTCTGGAGTTTTATTTAAATCATTCCCTACTCTTGACATCATATAGTCTTTTAAAGTTGTTTTGCTTATTTACATCTTCATTCCATCTGGAATTTGTTTATACTGTGAAGCACGAATTTAATTTTATACCTTTCCATATGGATAACCAATGTACATCCTAAGAGACAGGGTCTCTCTGTGTTGCCTGTGCTGGACTGCAGTGGCTACTACACAGTTGAGGAACTACACAGCGCATCACAGGTGCAATCACAGCGCACTAAGCCTCAGACTCCTGGGCTTGAGCGATCCTCCTGCCTCAGCCTCCCAAGTAGCTGGGACTACAGGCATATGCCACCATGCCCAGCTAATTTTTTCTATATATATTAGTTGGCCAATTAATTTCTTTCTATTTATAGTAGAGATCGGGTCTCGCTCTTGCTCAGGCTGGTTTCGAACTCCTGAGCTCGAGCAATCCGCCCGCCTCGGCCTCGCAGAGTGCTAGGATTACAGGCGTGAGCCACCGCGCCCGGCCTCCAGTATCTTTTATTACATAATCTATCCCTTCCTCGTTATAATTTATAATATTAACTCTGTCATTCACCAAATTACTATATATGTGTGGACCAGTTTCTGCTTCTCTATTATTTTCCATTGGCCTAACTGGGTATTCCTGTACCACTATGACATGGTTTCAATTAGTACATCTTAAATTTTGTCTTGACATCTAGTAGGTCAAGTCTACCTGCTTGTTATTTAATACTGTCTTGATTACTGTTGGCCCTTTAACCTTCTATATAAATGTGGAAAGAATGTGAGTTCCTCAATAAGTTCTATTGGAATTTTGATTGGAATTACATTGAATTTATAGACCGCCTGGGGACAACAGGCATCTTTGTGGCATTTGTGTCTTACCAACCATAGTATATCTCTATTTACTCTAATAGTATATCTCTATTTACTAAAGTCTTCCTTTTGTGTCCTGCAATGATACTTAAAAACCTGAAAGCTGAATAGCTAATAAGTAACCCTTCTAACATCATGTTTACTGTTAAACCCATTTCTACACAAGAAAGAATCTTGGCAACCACTGCAGTCCAGGAACTGTGAAAAGGATACATGCTTCTACCACTCCATATTTGAGTTTGGTGAAAAGTCGCACAAAAAAGTCCACAAAGAGACCCACCTGTGAAGAGCAAGAGATCAATCAGACAGCTTCATCCCCAGGTGTATTATAGGTGTGCTTCTCTTGAAAGCATTGCCTTCCCCCACTGCATTTACAGTGGTTGGTCAAGTGACCAACCAGCAACATAAGAATGAGCTTCCTATTAGTCTCTCTGACTTTTGAGATCCCTGCCCCAGCCTGGTCCCACTGCCCCTCTAAAGAACAAAGGCAGGGGGTTCACCCAAGTTATGTGAAGCAAATTTAAACAAAGAGGGAAAAGGATGCAGAAAAAGATGTGAGACCAAGAAAGACCATTCTGTGGTTAAAGAATAACAAGAACCACTCAATGCTTTCCAAAGGCAATTTCAAAAGAATTCCAAAAATGTCTCCAGTTATTCTTAGCTGGATAAGCACATAACTTAGGAAATTGCTTTAAAAGACAACATTCACTGAAGCATATGTGGTTTTTGCATGTTCGTTATTAGCACTTTACATTTTATAAGTCATTATTTTCACTTATAACCACCTTATAGTCAGTGGTCACCTTGAGTAAACAACCTGTGTTCCACTATTCCACTCTCCTAAGTGTTCAGGGCTTAAAGGAGAACTTGAAAGACTTCTAATTTTGTGGATTCAGGATCAAAGGCTTCATGCCTTTAACTCTGGCCTTCCCTCAAGCTAACACCTGGAGGCTTTTTAATACTGAAGTCAGAAGTGGCCACAGATCAAAGGACAAGAGTCAGAGTGCAGGTCTGCCTTCCTAAAATACAAGGGTGGGAGGTAAAGTTGCTTCAGGTTGAGTACCCCTTATCCAAAATCCTTGTGACTAGAAGTGTTTTGGATTTTGGAATATTTGCATCATACTGGTTGAACATCCCTAATCAGAAAATCCAAAATCTAAATCTCCTAATGAGCATTTCCTGTGAGCATCAATCACGTTGGCACTCAAACAGTTTCAGATTTTAGAGCATTTGGGATTTTCTGGTTAGGAACACTCAACTTGTAGTATTAATGAATGGCAGTTCAAAGGAGTTTGATATAAAAGTAGCAGAAAGACTAACAACTAGATGGCTAATGACTATGCCTAATACAGGGGAATTTGCAATTAGAAGCGCATATAGCAAAACAGCACTCTGATACTTCAGTAAAACAATTAAATCAACCCAAGTCCCCCCCCCACCACAGTGGTATCCATCACAACGTCACCAAAGAGACCTTCTGAATGCCATTAGTCTCACTTAGTGAGATGTTCTTTGTGAATTTTACTACAGTAAAAATTTGATACATGTCATCAAAATAAAAACTGTGGTTGGCCCTTGTGGCCACATTATACTACATACATATACTATGTGCATTTTACAGGTGTACCACGTATATTTAAGTATGAGGCTCGTAGCCAGTTCCAGAGAAAGGTGATCAATAGGCTGAGGAACAGACACACCCCCATTCTAACACTGCACTGAGGGGCAATCGGATCTGACACGTGTCATTCTGACTGACTGCTGACTTTCCCAGTTCACCTCCTCAGGTTTAATAATGTTAAGTCGGCAGTTATGGTTCCAAACTTTTTGCTACCATAATCTGTTTCCAATCCTTCCTGGTCTGTGATTCACCTATGAACCTGCTGAGCACAGGAACTCTGTTCATTCAGGCATATGCCTCTGTCCACAACTGCTGGCTCTACCTTCTAGATAACATTAGCAATACGCAGGGAGGAGCCCAGGACAGTACAATAAATTCCCTGAGTGAGATCCGTGGTGTCCCACCCTGTTGACTTGCAGCTATGCTAATAAAAAGGCATGATATTCACAGTCCATATCCATTACTTTGCTTTTTCCCTAGAGTGACCTCAACATCCACTATGTACTCCACGTACTACATTATCTACCCAATAAATATGTTATGAGGTAGATTATGGATTATGATCCATAATCATATCATAAAAGATAAGCTTTGACCAAAGCTTTGAGTGCTTTAAGAGCACCAGAGTTGTATGTCTCACTTTCATTTCACAAAACAAAAGCAAGAGAAAAACTGTGCCAGGATTAATTTAATTTAAAAAAAAAAAAAAGGAAAAAGGAAAATGCTGTCTTGGTTATGATGACATGTGTTATAATGTCATAAATGTTATAATGACAAATGCCCAATGTTACTCGCCCGCCAGCCCCGCCTGCTCACCAGCCCAGTGCAGAATCCAATGGCAAACACCACCGTCCACTTCACCAACTCGAACCTTCGACCTTTCTGTTCACACAGGAAAAGAATGACTCAGTTTGCTACAGGATCATGTTGACATCAGAGAAGGAACACATCTTGGCCAACCAGTTTTAGACTAAATTCCACATGGACAGAAAGCACAGTGTATATCTCAGGAGCTTTACAATGCAAGAACAATGCACTCTATGGGGCTGGGCCATGTGTACTGACCGTGGGTACTCTGGTTGGCAGGACGGAAGTCTAAGGAATAAATGCCAATACAGGCATACCTGAGAGGTACTGCAGGTTTAGTCCTAGACCACCATAATAAAGCAAATATTACAATAAAGTAAGTTACACAAACTTTGTGGTTTCCCAGTGCTTATAAAAGCTGTGTTTACACTACACTGTGGTTTATTAAGTGTGCAATAGCACTATGTTCAAAACATAATGTACATATCTTAATTTAAAAACATATTTTATTGTTAAAAAATACCAACACAGAGACACAAGCACATGTGTGCTCATAAGCACATGCCACTGGAAAAATGGCATTTTATTCAATGTGGGATTGCCACAAACCTTCAATTTGTAAAAAACGCAGTATCTGCGAAGCATAATAAAGCAAAGCATAGGCTAGGCATGGCAGCTCAAGCCTATAATCCTAGCACTCTGGGAGGCCAAGGCAGGAGGATCATTTGAGCTCAGGAGTTCGAGACCAGTCTGAGCAAAAGCGAGATCCATCTCTACTAAAAATAGAAAGAAATTAGCTGGACAACTAAAAAACAAAAATTATATATATATATATATTATATATATCAAAATTAGCTGGGCATGGTGGCACATGCCTGTAGTCCCAGCTACTTGGGAGCCCGACGTAGGAGGATTGCTTGAGTCCAGGAGTTTGAAGTTGCTGTGAGCTAGGCTGACGCCACAGCACTCTAGCACGGGCAACAGAGTGAGACTGTCTCAAAAACAAACCAAATGAACAAAAAAAAACAAAGCACAATAAAACAAGGTATGCCTGTATCTCATGAAAAGGCAAAAAAAAAAAAAAAGAAAAAAGAAAAGAAAAAAAACCACCAAAAAAGCCCCGAGGGGTTAAGGATATTTACTGGGGCACTTGGGGAGGGGAAGGCTGTCTTAAGACCTATTCAGTCCTAGGAGATCAAGAACTGCAGGACTCACCTTGTTATCCATGGTCTCCAAAACTTCTAGATAAGGGTCATTGATACAGCGATCATAATCCAAACTCTGAAAGAGGCACATGTGAATTAAAAAGTCACATCTAGGTAGGAAGAATTGTCAAAACTTGGAAAGGGACAAAATTCTGGGTTCCTGCTATTCGACACTTGGATGCATGGAGCAAGCAGCTTGTTAGAAATGCAATATCTCAGACCTGTAGCCTCAGAGTCTGTGCTTTTAACAAGATCCCCAGGTGACGCACAAGTACATTCAAGCTTTAGGAGCACTGCTTCGGGTTAATACTTCATGCTTTAGAAAAAGTTTTAAACTACATATTTTAAAACTTCCTGTTTTTGCAAAATATTTAAAGATCTGCAGGTATCACCAACCTTACCCAACTTATTCCATAAGATATGAATAAAAGCTTCATCTACCAGAACCAATTAATTAGAAAAGCAATTAATTATCTTTTGTAGTTAGCTTCTATGAAAATGAAGTTAGTCACAAGACAAATTAATAAGGAGACTATTTTTAAAAACAACTTCCAGTTTATGTTAGGAAGAGGCACAGACTTAGCCCATCTCCTAAAACTCGTCTAAAGCAGTGTTCTTTAAACCATGCTTCAAAGAACACAGATACTCTGCAATTTGCAGGCATGCCACAGACATTTAGAGAAATAATTCAAAGGAAATAATTTTATTTATATGTCTTCTAAGAGGAGTGGCAGCCCATCAACTGAGGAAAACAGTCTCCCAGGTGCTCTCTCCTAGGCTGTTCCTACCCCCATCAGCTATTGCACAAGCTAGACCCTGGCCAGGTAGCCACACTCCCAGGCAATAGTTTCAAGTCAACCAAACACACATGTGATGTGTGATAATTTATTCCATTCATATGACTACCCACAGTAAATCCAAATTCCCTTTTTTTTTTTTTTTTTTTTTGAGACAGAGTCTCGCTTTGTTGCCTAGGCTAGAGTGAGTGCCATGGCGTCAGCCTAGCTCACAGCAACCTCAATCTCCTGGCTCAAGCAATCCTTCTGCCTCAGCCTCCCAAGTAGCTGGGACTACAGGCATGTGCCACCATGCCCGGCTAATTTTATTTATATATACATATATTAGTTGGCCAATTAATTTCTTTCTATTTATAGTAGAGACGGGGTCTCGCTCTTGCTCAGGCTGGTTTCGAACTCCTGACCTCGAGCAATCCGCCCGCCTCGGCCTCCCAGAGAGCTAGGATTACAGGTGTGAGCCACCACGCCCGGCCAAATTCCCTTTTTTATGACTCCTGGAGTATCAACAGGCGACTGAGTAATCAATCATCATACATCCAAATAGAGATTATATAGCAATAAAATAATTACAGTAAGTCTATATGGATAGATATGGAAAATGTCCAAAAATTATTTTAAAAAAAAGGACACAATTAAAAAATAAAAATAAAGCAAGTTGCAGAATAAAATGTATAATACAATCCCATTTTGATTAAACAAAATTAGGATTGTTTGTCAGCATACACAATGCAAAAACACCTGGGAAAACATCTGTGAGTTGGTGTTTTGGGAGATGTTTATATCTAAGTACTGTCTGAGATTCTCATAGCACACATGGTGTGCCTTTTATATTTTAAAAAATTTATCTTTATTTTTATCTGATCAGGAAAAAAAAAACAAAAGGAGGAAAAAATACTTCTGCTGGGAAACTAGACTCGTCCATGAGTGATTACACACACACACACACACACACACACACACACACACACACACACACTGTGGAGGCCAAGAGGAAAAGCTCCCCCTTCACCCTCTGAAGGTCTGTTGAAAGCGAACTGACAGAGGCAGACTCAAGAAGAAAAGGCACAGAGACTTATTTCACACATACAGCACAAGGAACTGCAGGAGAATGATTACTCGATGACCCAGTGAGGTCCAAAGCTTCTACACCCTTCCACAGGGGAAGCAGGTGCAGGAGTAGATGATTTTTAGGGGAGAAATGAAAGAACCAGGGAGACAGACATCATCTTGTGATGATTCTCTTTGGAAACTGAATGGGACCAGAGAACAAGCCATGGTTTGGGACAGTCTGGGCTCCAGGTGTGGTGTTTGATTTTCGGCTTCTTCCTCTAGGAAATGAGTTTTACTTTTTTCTGGTTAATTAAATTTCAGGAAAGGGATCAAAGACAATTGTGTTCCTCTTTGGTGGGTCTGGTTTCTAGGCAGATAAAGAAATATCGGAGAACAGTCTCATCCTGTACTTTGGGAGAGACAAAGTGTTGAGGGACAGGAAAGGGGGTCAGAAGGTCAGAGAGACCTTCTTTTTTTTTGTTTGAGACAGTCTAGCTTTGTTGCCCAAGCTAGAGTGCCGTGGCATCAGCCTAGCTCACGGCAATCTCACCTCAAACTGGGCTCGAGCAATCCTCTTGCCTTAGCCTCTGAGTAGCTGGGACTACAGGTGCACACCACCACGCCAGGCTAATTCTTTTCTATTTTTAGTAGAGATGAGGTCTCACTCTCACTCAGTGTGGTCTCAAACTCTTGACTTCAAGCGATCCTCCCACAGTGCTAGCTTAACAGGCATGAGCCACCGCGCAGAGCCAGGTCAGAAAGACCTTGAGGTTGCTTCTTTAGTTCAGCCTGTCAACACACCATATTTCCAGGTATTGTTTTATTTTTTTTTTGAAACAGAGTCTGGCTGGCTCTGTTGTCTGGGCTACGGTGCCGTGGCATCAGCCTAGCTCACAGCAACCTCAAACTCCTGAGTTCAAGCGATCCTCCTGCCTCAGCCTCCCGAGTAGGTGGGACTACAGGTCCACACCACCATGCCCAGCTAATTTTTTCTACTTTTAGTAGAGACAGGGTCTCACTCTTGCTCAGGCTGGTCTTGAGCAAGATCTGATCTCAAGTGAGCCTTACAGATACTCCCACCTTGGCCTCCTAGAGTGCTAGGATTACAGGCATGAGCCACTGCGCCCAGCCCCCAGGTATTATTTTCTGAGCCCCAACTATACACACACACACTCCTTAAAAATCAATTAAGTGACATTACATTCTAGGAACAGAAAAAATTAAAATGTTGAAAAATATGAGGCCAGCTCAGTGGCTCGGGCCTATAATATCAGCACATTGGAAGGCCAAGGCAAGAGGATCACTTGAGCCCAGGAGCTCAAAACCAGCCTGGGCAATATAGTGAGACCCTATCTTAAAAAAAAAAAAGAATATCCAATATCCTTTTGTAATATTTTAAAATACATATTTGGTCTTTTTTTAAAAGATGGAGTCTTGCTCTGTTGCCTGGGGTAGAGTGTAGTGGCATCACTGTAGCTCACTGCAGCCTCAAATTCCTGGGCTCAACTGATCCTCCTGCCTCTGCCTCCCGAGTAGCTGGGACTGTAGGCATACGCCACCATGGCAGGCTAATTTTTGAAATTTTTCTAGAGTCAAGGTCTCACTATGTTGTCCAGGATGGTCTTGAACTCCTGGCCTCAAGTAATCCTTCAGCCTCAGTCTCCCAAAGTGCTAGGATTATGGGTGTGAGCCACTGTACCCGACCTGGTCTTATTTTTTTTAAAACAGGGTCTGGCTCTATTACCCCGGCTAGAGTGCAATGGTGCAATCATAGCTCACCACAGTCTGGAATCCCTGGGCTCAAGTGTTCCTCCTGCCTCAGCCTCCGGAGTAGCTAGAGGAACTACAGGTGTTTGCCACCACGCCCAGCTAATCTTTAAATTTTTTTCATAGAAACAGGGTCTCATTATGTTGCCCAGGCTGATCTCAAACTCCTGGCCTTAAGCAAGCCTCCCACCTCAGCCTTTAAAAGTGCTGGGATGACAGGCACCCAGACTGTATTTGAGCAGTCTTTGAGCAGTCACTTGGCATGGATCCAGGCCCTAAAATCCAGTGTGGCTTCTGTATGCTAATGAGATGACTCCTGGCTGAGGGACCCTAGACAGCTGCAGAAGAGGGGCTGCTCAGCAGAAAGACCAAGGCAGGATTAAAGGACTGAGACTTTTAGCTCCAAGTCCCAACCTCCAGGGAGGGGAGAAGGGCTGAAGGTTAAACTGATCACCAATGGCCAATGACGTAAACAATCGTGCCTACATAAGGAAGCTTCCGTAAAAACCCAAAGGACAGGGTTCAGAGAGCTTCCAGATAGCTGAACACATGGAGGTTCCTGGGGCTAGCGTGCATGCAAGCTCTGTGCCCCTTCCCATGTGCCCTGCCCTATACATTTCTTCATTGGGCTCTCTCTCTGTATCCTTTATTATATACTTTCTTAATAAATTGATAAATTTAAGTAACATGTTTCCCTGAGTTTTCTGAGAGCTCTAGCAAATTAATCAAACTCAAGGAGGGGGTCATGGAAACCCTCAATTTACAACTGGTTGGTCAGAAGTACAGGTGCAACCTCCTACTTGCAACTAGCATTTGAAGTGGTGAGGGTCTTGGGCTGAACCCTCAACCTGTGGGACCTGACGCTATCTCCAGGTAGGCAGTGCCAGAACTGCATTGGAGGATACGCTACGCAGCAGGTATCCTCTGGGGAACTGCTTGCTGGTATATGGGGAAGGTGTGTGTTGTGTGGAGTGGTAAGAGAGAGTACAGGGTAAAACACCTGGTTTGTTCTTATCTCTTATCTTCATCCCAAATATGTATAGAAATTACTGGTTTGTTAATTATTTGCCTGATGGTTTTGTGTAATAATGCTATGGCTCCATAGACTTTTTTTTTTTTGAGACAGAGTCTCTCTTTGTTGCCCAGGCTAGAGTGAGTGCCGTGGCATCTCTAGCTCACAGCAACCTCAACTCCTGGGCTCAAGCAATCCTGCTGCCTCAGCCTCTTGAGTAACTGGGATTACAGGCATGTGCCACCATGCCCGGCTAACTTTTTCTGTATATATTAGTTGGCCAGTTAATTTCTTTCTATTTACAGTAGAGACGGGGTCTCACTCTTGCTCAGGCTGGTTTCAAACTCCTGACCTCGAGCAATCTGCCCTCCTCGGCCTCCCGTCCATAGACATTTAATAGGTGTTTAGATATGTCCAGAATAGGCAAACCCACAGAGACAGAAAGTAGATTAGCGATTGCCTAGAGTCCGGGGCGAGGGGAATGGGCAGTGACTGCTAATGGGTGCCGGGTTTTTCTCCAGGGTCATGAAGATGTTCTAAAATTGACTGGGGTGATGGCTGTACAATTGTGAATGTACTTAAAAAAAAAACAAAAACCATTGAATTATACACTTTAAATGAGTGAATTGTATAGTGCATGAATTATAACTCAATAAAACTAATAAATCTTTTTTTCAAAATTAATTTGTTGAATTTGACACTTTGTAAATATGTACCAGTGGAACATATGACCTATTAAAACCAGATATTGCTACTTCTTTGCTATGACTAATTTCTTTTTATTTCTGCTGTGTACGTTTGCTCTTTGGTTTGGGGGACTAACAACTTTTTTTGTTAATTTTTTTTTTTTTTTGAGACAGAGTCCTCAAACGCTTACAGCCTCAAACTCCTGTGGTCAAGTGATCCTCCTGCCTCAGCCTCCTGAGTAGCTGGGACTACAGGCATGTACCACCATGCTCGCCAATTTTTTTCTATTTTTTTAAGTAGAGGTGAGGTTGTGCTCTTGCTCAGGCTGGTCTCAAACTCCAGGCTTCAAATGATCCTCCCAACTTGGCCTCCCAGATGCTAGGATGACAGGCATGAGGCACTGCACCCAGCCTTAAATAAAATTTTATAGGTGTCCTACAGGGCTACTGCACATGGTTATGAGCAGAATGGCAACTGGCCATGAGGTGACACAGTGCAAATTTAACTGGGAAAGAGCACCTTAGTGCTCACACAAAAAGCACCTTCAACTGGCCATGAGCTAGGGGTGTTGCTATGGTCCAGAGGGGAAGGCCTTTCATTCTAATTCTTCTACTCTAATGGGTGCTTCTTTCTAACTCAAAGGAGCAATATAGGCTCTGTGACCTGCACGAAAGCATTAGTGTTCATAATGACACATCACACAGGTGGGAAGTTGCTATTATTCAAACCAACTATCAAAATGGGGATTCTAAAATCTTGTAAATTTACAAAGAAAGTCAAGTATATGCAATGAACTCTTCCTGAGGCAGGAAGGAGGAGCACATTTTAGAAAGATTTTCAACAGAAGGTTTTTCTAGTTGATCCTTAATAAATAAAATCCAAGCAGACTTTTTTGATAAGTGCCTAACTGAATTTGCTCTTAAACAGGGCAAATGCTCTAAGAAGCTCATATTCGGAGATGGCTAATTGAGAAATATTAGTGACTCACATGAAAGAACATTAATCCATAAAATTTACACGAATATGCATATCACCTGAAGGCCAAGCGTATTATAAATATAAGTGCAATGTAGAGGAAAGAGTGAAGGAACCTTGGTAACAACAGCAAGTCTGTGGAGTCTGTGGGTCTGTGGAGAAGCCTCAGTGAACTCCTGGAAGTAGGATGAAGGCTGCGAGACAGGCTCAGTTGTACTACAGTCAAGGGTACACGACAGGGCTCAGTGAGAGAGTGCCAGGTAACAGCACAATATGGAACATCTTATGCTAATTCCTGCAAACCTCCCAAATATGTACAAGGAAACAAATACTTAAGAAATAGAAGAAAATACGGCAGTGGATACAGTGCTTTATGATTCATTAAAAGCAGTAGCATTTTAAACTATACCATGGGGCACGACTGGCAAAATCCAGACAGTAGAAAATTCCAGAGTCCTAATTATGCTGTCAAATACAAGGGGGGAAAAAGATGAAGGAGGAATCTATAGATCAAAAGAAATTTAAAAGATACACCAAATAAATGCAGGGAGGACCTTATTTGGAACCTGATTAAAACAAAGTTAAAATACATATGACATTTATAAAAAAACTAAAAAATGGGTATTTGATGTCAAGGAATTTTTTTTTTTTTTAGATGTGATAATGGTATTGTGTTATGCTAAAAAAAAAAGTCCTTATCCTCTAGATATGCACAGGGAATTATTTATGGGTGAAATGGTATGATATATAGAATTCTTCAAAATAATATGGGAAGAGAGAAGTGGATTATAAAAGCATAGACAAAACAAGGTTGGGCATGAGCTGAATGATTGTGGAAGCTGTGTGATGAGGACAGAGGGTTTTAGTAGACTATTCTGTCCATTTTTGTATGTTTAAAATTCTCCACAATAAAAGCTAAAAAAAAAAAAAAGAAAAAAAAAATCCATACTATACTACAAATCCTATAATGCCAGCACTTTGGGAGGCCAAGGAGTGCTTGAGCCCAAGAGTTCAAGACCAGCCTGGATGAGACCCCTGTCTCTAAAAAAAATTTTTAAAGATTAGTTAGGCATGGTGGTACATGCCTGTAGTCTCAGCTACTCAAGAGGTTGAGGCAGAAGCAAACGCTTTTGCCCAGCAGTTTGAGGCTGCAGTGAGCTATGATGACACCACTGCATTCTGGCCAGGGAAACAGAGCAAGATCTTGTCTCAAAAAAAAAAAAAAAAAATCATAATAAAAGTATTAATAATAATTGTTAAAAAATGGATGAGGAGCAGGACTGATTAAAATAGTATAATTAGTAGACTCTCAATTTTGTTACTTTAAGAAAAGCATGTATATAAACATGCATAAGGATGTAGTAAGACAGTAAGGAGTGAAGAGCCATCTTTTAATCAGTAGGGTTATAGATTTTTCTCTAGCTTCTCTTTGTATATAGTTTAAGAATTTTCTGTCACAAGCATGGCTTGTTTTTGTCCTTTTGCAAGTCATGGAAAAGACATGAACTGGTTAAATGATAAAAAGTCAACCATTTTAAGTTCCACCCCAGCAGCACTGGCCTTAGTAAAAACACACGTACTCTAAGAGTTCCATACTAGAAACTGGGAACTACAATCAAGAACATTTCTGAGAGAAACTGCTTGGGCAGGAAGACAATCATCTGAAAACTAAGCTCTCTCAGAAGAAGCAAGGCCTCCGTAACAAGTTACGAGCACACACCTACTAGGAACACACACTGTCAGTGGCTTTTACTCTGGGTCTCTGTAAGTTGCAAAAGCAAACAGTTTAATGGTAAATATATATGCTGTCCAGGTTAAGTTGCCACAGATCTACAAAAGCATAAAGACATTAGACCTTATTTTGGGTTTAAGGTGAGAAAAGGGCTTGTTAAACAGCCCCTTTCCCAGAAGTTATCTCTTACCCTCTCACTCCCTGGGACAGAAGATCAAAGAGCATCACTGGTTGGAATCACAGTGCTTCCACCTGAAGTGACCAGGCCACTCACTACTTTAGTTACCCAAGATAGCATCTTAGCATCTCACCTCATAGTCTTTCCTAGGAAGGATCTCATCCTCCTCCTCCTGTGTTTCTCCAAGGATGGTCTAGAAAAACAGATCCATAGAGGGAGCCCTTTTTAGTGGCTAAGAGTGGAAGGAGGCAGAAGTGTTTACTGAAATCAGTTGCTCACTTCCAAATCATCTGGAGCCATCATCAAATTGGAACAAGATGGCAAAAAAAAACAAAAAAAACTTTTGGGGTGCCTGGGTGTGGTAGCTCATGCCTGTAACCCTAGCACTCTGGATGGTCGAGGCAGGAGGATCACTTGAGGGCAGGAGTTCAAGACCAGCCTGACCAAGAGTGAGACCCCATCACTGCTAAAAATAGGAAAAATTAGCCTGGTGTAGTGGTGTGCGCCTGTAGTCCCAGCTACTTGGGAGGCTGAGGCAAGAGGATCGCTTGAGCCCAGGAGTTTGAGATTGCAGTGAGCTATGATGACACCACTGCACTCTACCCAGGGCAAGAGTGAGAACTATCTCAAAAAAAAAAAAAAAACAGAAAAAAATCCAGCCACATACTCCCCATTATTCTATGTCCCCTTACCCTGACTAAAAAAAAAAAGAAAGAAAGAAAAACTCGGGGTGAGGGGTTATGTGGGTGAGGAACTACAGTCATCCAGCTGAGCTCTCCTTTCTATTGGTACATTCTACTAATAACCACTCGTCTTCAGGACACCTCAAAGATGTCCGATGCCAGCTTAAGGGGGGGAGGAATTCACGTTCCATCTGACAATGCGCTGAATCTGAAATCAGAAGGGACCTGTCAATTCTGGGGACACAACAACTCAAGTTTTCCCAGGGTGCTTTGCAGGGAGACGCTGGATTGTCAGTGACCCAGAAAGGGTGAGGGATAGAGGGAGCAAGGGCTGAAGAAACAGCCAGCTGCATGATAAGCACGAAGTCCTGCGAAGGAGCTCATTTTGCAAAACGCTTGTTTCATTCAAAACTCTTTTCAGATGGAAATAAAATAAAATATGGATGGGATTAACTGAAGCTGCCCTGGATTTTCCCTTAGATTCCAGGAGGCGTTATGAGAAAAGACCCCAGACTTGGGCATGTGACGCAGCGCAGAGGCTTCTAGAACCCAGGCTGCAGTCCCCAGGCCCCACCCGCTGCCACCTGCAGGCCCAGCTCGGCCCGGCACCACCCCCAGCAACGCCGCTCGCAGTCCCATAGCAACCGCCCCCTCCCCAGCACTGCCCAGCCCGCTCCTCACCAGCTCCTCGGGGGTGCGGGTCTCACGCTCGCTGCAGCAGCAGCACAACTTGCAGCGGCTGCACAGAGGCCCCCTGCTTCCCGCCATCTTCCTCCTTCACTGCCACCGCGGACCCCTCTGCCAGCCCCCTCCCACCCAGGAGCCGCCTCACGTGACTGGCTCCGGGAGGTCACGTGGCCCTGTCAAGCTCGGGGACGAAGACAGGGAGTGGCTGCAGACGGGTGGGGCGACGGCTTACGTCACATGACGGTAAAGGGACAGCTTCCAACGAGACCTCCGGGCGCGGCCATATTGGAGGCGGAGCTTCCGGTCGCCTGCTTGAGTGGTGCCCGCCCTCTCGGCCCCCCCTTAGAAACCTGACACCTGCGCCACACCCCGCCCCCACGCGCCCCCGCCGCAGTCCCTCCGCTGCGACAGGCGAGCGACCTTTCTGAGTCACCCGGTACCGGAGGGTGAGTGAGTGCGAGGCCCGCGATCGCCGGGGTGGGAGCCCGCAAACACCCATCCGGGGGCGGGCACTTGTTTGTGGGCGGGAGCGCTGGAGGCCGGCCCACCCCTTTATTTGGGGGGGCTCCCGCCCCTCCGCGCACCCCTCGCGAGACTACTGTAACCGTCCCCCCTCCCCCAGCGCAAGGCTGCCCCCCCCAGCGACCCCCAACCCTCCGGCGAAGACTCACTTGCGGCCCCCTACCTGGACTGAGGGGCCGCGGAGATGTGGGGTCCTGAGCGGGGGTGGTGGTCCAGACCCCCGGACCGGCCTGGGCCGCGCCCGGCTGGTGTCCCAGTGACCCGGTGATTCAATTCCCGGCCCTCCGGGCACCCGGGCACCGAAGAGGCTTTGGGCTCCGGCTTTTTAAGCCTGCTCCCCCGGCGAGCGCCTGGACACGGGCGGTGGGCCGCTGGCACTGCGTCCCGGCGCCCACCGCGTCCCGCTGCGCACGGCTGGCCGCCGGGACCCTTCCGGGAGGGTGGGCTTAATGTCCTGGTGTTTGGCGCAGTCTAAGTAAGTGCTCAGTAAAGGCAGACGGTTATTTTGAGAACGGAGTGACAGCGCCTGGCCCCTGGGTGCTCAGCGAGTGTTTGCTGTGAATACTGTGTGCCAAGCGCGGGGCGTACCACAGGCAGCATACGGGTCCTGGTTTCAGGAAACTGAGGGGCAGAGAGGGGAGACAAACATGTTAACCCCACAGTTAAAACCCAGGGGGCTGTGGGAGTCCGGCTTAAAATGGATAAATCGTGGGTGTTGGTTAAGAGAAGGCGAAATAATATGGCACGTGTCTGGCACATACTAGGAATGCAGTGTCTTTGAAGAGCAGAGTTTGCAGGTGGTTCAGCCTCCTCCCCCGCTCTAGGGTTTGTTCCAGCAGGCAGTAATGAGACACTCCTCCAATGCAGGAGAAAGGCCAGCCTGCTGCTCTCACCGTTGGCCCTTTCTTCACTCCCCACAGCCATCCTCGCTGGGAATCTGGAGTTTTAGGTCATAACCAAAACGAGCATCTTAGCAGGAGAAAGTGTTAGCACAAGGGTTCTTAGTCTGGGATCTGTGCTTTGACCTTGGATACACCCATGCGTGTTCTGTGTTCTGTTCACTTGTATATGTTTCAAGGGAGAGGAGCAGTGATTTCAGCTGATTCTCGAAAAGAGTCTGGAACCCCAGATGGTTAACTCCACCGGTCCAGTGGTGGACATTCCCTGAAAGGAATGAACCTGACCTTGTCATTCCTCTGTTGCATCATGTCGCCACACATTGATTTTCACTACTGTGCCTTTGCCATTGCTGTGCAAGAGTAGTGTTTTGTTTCGTTTTTAAGTATTTGTCTTATTTTCTCCACCAAACTGCCAAATGGCACTGTGCACTCTGTTGGCCTGCCTGTGATTGCCATGGTGGCTCTGCGGTCACCAGGTCACCATGATTCCTTTTTTTTTTTTTTTTTTGAGACAGAGTCTGGCTCTGTCACTTGGGCTAGATCACCATGGCGTCAACCTAGCTCATAGCAACCTCAAACTCCAGGGCTGAAATCCTCCTGGCTCAGCCTCTTTTTTTTGAGACTGAGACAGAGTCTCCTTCTATTGCCTGGGCTAGAATGCTGTGGTGTCAGCGTAACTCACAGCAACCTCATATTCCTAGGCTTAGGCGATCCTCCTACCTCAGCCTCCCAAATAGCTAGAATTATAGGCACAAACCACCATGCCCAGCTAATTTTTCTATTTTTAGCAGAGAAGGGGGTCTCACTCTTGCATAGGCTGGTCTCAAACTCCTGCCCTCAAGCGATCCTTGGGCCTTGGCCTCCCAAAGTGCTAGGATTACAGGCTTGAATGAGCCACGATGCCCATCCAATTCCTTTTTTTTTTTTTTTTTTGAGACAGTCTTACTCTCTTCCCTGGGCTAGAGTGTGGTGGCATGAGCCTAGCTCACAGCAGCCTCAAACTCCTGGGCTCAAGTGATCCTCCTGCCTCAGCCTCCCAAGTAGCTGGGTAGACTACAGGCACATGCCATCATGCCTGGCTAATTTTTTCTATTTTTAGTTGTTTGGCTAATTTCTTTCTATTTTTAGTAGAGACGGGGTATTGCTTTTGCTCAGGCTGGTCTCAAACTCCTGAGTTCAAGCAATCCTCCCACCTCTGTCTCCCAGAGTGCTAGGATTACAGGTATGAGCCACTACGCCTGCCCCCCCCCTCGTTTTTTTGTGTGTTTTGCTTTTGTTTTTTTTTTTAAGAGATGGATCTGTCTGTGTTGCTCAGGCTGGCCTTGAACTACTGGATTCAAGTGATCCTCCTGTCTCAGCCTCCAGAGGTCATCATGATTTCAGTGATGTGTATATGAAGAGCAGCCTGCAAGGCTGGCACAGATGGGTCAGCCTTTGTTTTGAGTTGACATGAATTTGTGCCCTTACTGAACTTGGATCTGGCTACTTTTGGAACACAGCCAGTTTCAAGTTCTAACCCACAACACAGTCTTGGGAGTAGGATGAATTCAGAAGAAATCTGGCTGCAAAGTTAAACTCTCACCCCTTCTTTCCTGCACACAAACTGTTCCAAGTAACAGGAGATGTCCAGGCAGGGCCAGCCAGAGCAAGCTATTCCTTCTTTGGAGAGTGACCCAGGGGCCTTGAACGCCTGTTGGCCTCATGTCCACCAACCCCTGCAGTCTCAGCCCTAGTTCTCCTTCCATCTGCCGCCTCTGACTAGAGCCCCAGCCCTCCCTCCTCTGCCTGGAAACCTTGCCCCCGCCCCCTTGCTCAGCTCAAGGCTCTTCCTTTGTCAAAGCTCCACCCAGTTGTACACACCCGCTGGGGAAGGTTCCTCTGTTCCCTCCCCACTCACTCTGTGTCTGAGCTGACAGAGATGGACCATCGAGAAGCCAAGGTCCTCCCAGCTGTGCACCACTGCCCCTCCCTAGGAATGTGGGCCTCGGAGGCCGGCAGCGTGAGGTTCTCTGTGCCACCTTCCATCAGGTAGCTGTCACCGAGGATCCATGGACAGAAGGAGCATGTTTCGGTGCTGGGTGGGGGCGATCTCGCATGCAAAGAGCCAGGCAGCAGTGGAGGGCAAGGCTTTAAGTGAGGCAGCACAGACAGCTGTGCAGCGTGGAGCCACTGGGTGGGGGCAGTGTCACCTTCCCCTTACTGGCCTTCTTGCGTGGAAATGCAGCGTCTCTCACTTGAACCTGCTACCCAGGTGCCTCAATGTGCCTGGGGCTTGGCTGCCTGCCCCCTGATGTCCCCTGCCCCACCCCGTGCAGCAGGAACCCGGCCATGGTGAATGAGGCCAGAGGGAGTGGCGGCCTCAACCCCCGCTCAGAGGGCAGCAGCAGTGGCAGCGAGAATTCCAAAGATAGTTCGAGATGTTCCACACCGGGCCTGGACCCGGAGCGGCATGAGAAACTCCGGGAGAAGATGAGGCGGAGGATGGAATCTGGTGACAAGTGGTTCTCCTTGGAATTCTTCCCTCCTCGAACTGCTGAAGGAGCTGTCAATCTCATCTCAAGGTAGATTGATGCTAGTTACGGTGGGGAAGGGGTGGGGGTGGCAGGGAAGTGAACTGCCAGCCCTGCAGCTGGGCTGCACTTTAACCCGGCAGAAAAAGCAGCCAGAGGAGGGCAGGCAAGAGAAGACTGAGTAGGTCATTTGAGCTGCAGCTTCTCAGTTGTTTGTAAGAGTCCCTCTGCAGCATTGAGTATTTTTAGACACACTCTTTAACGGGTTAAACATGTTGATTCTCTCAAACTGTATTCTTTGGAGGAACTTGGGGTTGGATCACGAGTACATTTAGGAAGTCACAAAGCAGGGAGAATGTTTTCAGCAAGTTAGGAATTTGGATTATGCCTCTTGAAATCCAGAAATGCCAACTGAATTATGTTGGCACTGCAGTTCCTTTTTAAAAGTTTACGCCTTTTACTGTTTGCACTTCTCATGTGTCGCTCCCAAGGTTTTGAAGTTTAAAGGCACAAGGATGTTTAGATACATTGTGTAACTTGTAACACAAGTACCCATGGCCATCCAGGCTTTGGAGTCCCGTTCAGGAACTTGGTGTTGGGCTGCTGCCGAGGCTGGGAGGCAGCATGGGAGGCATTTGTGTCTGCTGCCCCCTTTCTTTGCTGTTCCTGGAATGAGGCTGTGCTTGGCACTCTGAGGATTTCCCTAACCCTTGACCATTAAGATGTGTTATCTCACCCGAGATCATAAATGTGCAAGCACTGTGCAAAGTCTGGAGTGCTGCTCTCACCCCAAATGGTGGAATAGCATTGCTAGTATTTATCTCTGCGATAATGACCATAATGGCACGTCACAGTCACTGAGTCTTCGCTGGGTGTGTACCAGGCACCGTCCTAGGTGATGTGGAGCCAGTTATCATCATGTTCTCCTGGCGGTGTTGTGGAGTAGGTACTGATACCTGCTGCATTTTATAAATGAGGAAACTGAGTCAGAGAGATTAATTTACCCAAGATGGCATAGCTATAAGTAGCCAAGCCAGGGTATGAAGGCGGGTTGGTTTGACTCCAGCTTCCATGTTACGCTTCTCTAACTCCTGGGTCCCCTGGGAAGGTGGTGAGGGCTGGTGTTTCCCCCAGAACCTCTCTTCAGAAAGAAATCCCCTACAGATTTGACCGGATGGCAGCAGGTGGCCCCCTCTTCATAGATGTGACCTGGCATCCCGCAGGAGACCCTGGCTCAGACAAGGAGACCTCTTCCATGATGATTGCCAGCACTGCCGTGAACTACTGTGGCCTGGAAACCATCCTGCACATGACCTGCTGCTGTCAGAGCCAGGATG